ATCTCCACGGGGAGGTCGTTCCAAAGGGCTGGAGCTGCAACAGAGAAGGCTCTCCCCCAGGGAGTTGCCAGCCGACATTGGCTGGCAGATGGAATCTGGAAAAGGCCTAGTCTGTGCGATCTGATCGGTCTATGGGAGGTAATTGGCAGGAGGCGGTCTCTCAGGTACATGTCAAATAATCATGGAAGCGTTTCTCATTTTCCAATGTGATTATTATATTTCCATAAAATTTAATATTTTGTATTTATTTAGAACCCTTATATTTAAATTACAGGAAAATAAACCAATATTCCAAATAGTCAAATTGCTTCAAATCTACCAATTGTTAAAATGTAGGAGAAACAGTCACCATTATTGGGGTTTAATATTTGGTGTTTTTAAGACTGATAATTTTATTTTTAAAATATTACAGCTTTATCAACATATTTTTATTCTTCTAAAGTTGATATACATGTTCTATATTTTACATTACAATATTCCTATTTTGAATCCTAATTTATCACCCCTGTGTTTCATATGTAAGTAACTAAAAAGCAAATAAGTTCCAAGGATTTCTAAAATGGCTTTGGAGTGGGATCTAGTTAAGAATCTTTTAAATCTATAGTTAACATTAATTATTGGAGTTTGAGAGATGTTTACCTTAAGGTTATATAAAGCTCATTTATGCAGGAATCATTCTTAAACAATTGAATTTTTGTGTGGCAGGATTTGACATTGCTTTCTTCTTCTTCTATATTTTTTTAAAACCTTTTCTGGTGAGCTCCCAAAACACCGCACATAATAAAGTACTGATGGCTATTCTGTTGACATAATACATTAAGATCTAGCTATACAAAATGCAGACTGTCTGCAACTTCTTATTATATTAAAATACATGAGAGAAATATTTAAAATTCTGATTAGCTTTATATCTTTTAACTCTTCCAGAAAGTGAGTTAGAACATTCATCAACTACTTCATCTTTGAGTAGTTCAGAAGAGAGCAAAGAGAGTTCTACAACTCTGTCATCTCCAGTGCTACATAATGGAACTTCTGGAGAAAAACAAAGTATATTCAGGATTACTAGAAGTAAAATATATCAGCAAAAACAAATAGGTATGTATATTATATATATATATTAAAATGTATGTCATGTCTTTAAGTCCTGAGCAACTTAATGACAATCAAATTTATTAAAAAGTATGATAAACGCAACATGAAAACATTGTTACAAGATTGTATTTATTTGAATTATATGACTACCAACGCATAAAAGTGGCAGCTTGGCAGCTTAGAAATTATTAAAAGTAAAAAACAATCACCATCCAAAACAAAATAAATGCCAACCACAACATATTCCATTCAAGTCTTTTTCCCATTTGGATGGGCTCATCTAATACTTTAGCTCAATGTCTGGGGGGGAAACCAGGTTTCCAGGACATTTCTGATGGTTAGCAGGGACAGGATTGGAAGTGGTTGCAACAGAGAAGCCATGCCTCTTCGTTCCCACCAGATGGCATCGTTCCATATAAGAAACCTGAAGCATAATTACTATTTTAGATTCCCATGGGATGAAAATAAGGAATTGAAAAGAATCAGCCCCACAAATAACCTGGCCTGGCGCAATGAAGGCTTAATAGGTGATNACATGCACAGGGGACATGTCATGGGGACATTAAATTATGGGGGTGGGCACACGAGCTAATGTGACAACACGCACATGCGTGCTTTCGGCACCCAATGCGAAAAATGGTGTTTGGGGGAGATGGGGGGGATAGACGTTCTATGGAAATGCTAAATTTCCCTCATAAGAAACCTCAAACCTTCCGATAGATTGCTTCAAATATTTGCAGAAATGAATAAATGAGGGAATGAAATTCACCCCTGTGAAAAATTACTATATGTACGATACCTGACATGTTATCACTTGCACGCACTCAATGGCCCATCCCCAACCAATACATATACAAATTCCTGCACTGAAATTTAACATATATTTTTCTACAGCTAGAATAACTCCAAAGAAATTCCCTGTCCTCTAAATCTCTCCTTCTTCTCATTTAGGCCTCTCATAAATCCAGAGACATTCTGGTGGATGCAAATGGGGCTTTGCTGTACACAATGTTCAGGCATCCAAAGGAGGAGGAGGAAGAGGAGGAGGAGAAAGATGTAATAGTAGTGATGCTTTTCCTGAGCTGTGTGTTTATGGTTGTGTTGTTAAAGCCATGCATGTCAGTCAACCTGTTCAATCACTCTCTCCACAGGTTTTTGTGATTATTGAATGTTTGAGAGAAGAATTTTGGATGCTAAAGAAAGCTGATCCAGATTTGAAGGAACTTTTAAAGAACTCCAGTTTTACTCTACCCTACTTTACCCTAATATGGACTGTCCCTCTTAGGACCTACTTTGACAATGATTAATTTTTCATTACTTCCTCCCCATCAGGCTCATGTCATCATCACAATGATGTCACCACTCAATCAAATTTGGCTGCCAGTTATCATCCCAAAGCCAAAGACGATGAGGGCAATGCTTCCTGTCAGAGTTATGTGGTCTGAATGAGAGAATGTCTGGGCTTCCCCATACATTCTGTATCTTTAGTGCTGTGTTGTATGTTGCTAATATTGTTGGTCCACCCCCAGATGGAACTCAACAAATCTACAGCTGGCAACTTGTTGAGAAAGTCCCAAACAAGAAGACAACAGTTTTAACACTGTGTTGCAAACTTCCTTCATATTCTCTCTCCAGCTTCAACCCTCTAATAGCATATTATAATTATACTATTTTTCACAGCCCAGCATATCTGGCAAGCTTGACTGCACAACAATCAAAACTGCTGAAATGTTTACTAGCACCATTACCCAGAGCATCTTCTTGCTGTTTATCACTTACCTGCCTTTCCTTATCATTAAGCATCATTCCTGCCTTCATGGGCCAGAGCCATTAAAAATAAATCCCACTGCTAGGATTCAATGGCTCTGTTTAGAGAATGGATGGGGAGAGAAGGAAGTTCTGCTAAAGGGATTCTATGCTGGTCTCCAATCAGCCTTGAAGAGAACCATAGCAACCAGGNCCTTCCCCTGGAATGGGATGGGAATGGAGAGTTTGCAGTATCCTTCCCCTGGAGTGGAGTGGGAATGGAGAGTTTGCAGTATCCTTTCCCTACAGTGGGGTAGGAATGGAGAGTTTGCAGTATCCTTCCCCTGCAATGGGGTGGGAATGGAGAGTTTGCAGTATCCTTTCCCTACACTGGGGTGGAAATGGAGAGTTTGCAGTATCCTTCCCCTGGAGTGGGGTGGGAATGGAGACTTTGTAGTATCCTTCCCCTGCCATGCCCACCAAGCCAGACCCACAGAACTGGTAGTAAAAAAAATGAATTTCAAGGAAGGAAGGAAGGAAGGAAGGAAGGAAGGAAGGAAGGAAGGAAGGAAGGGTTATATTAATTGTCGATTCATATGCTCCCAACAAAGCAACAGGTACATTATTAGCATATTCCTATATTCTTCAGTGAAGCAAAGTTCATTCCATAGAAATATAAGCTTGCAAATGGATTAAGGTCAATGTATTTGTCTTCCTGCATTCTTTTCTGTTAGAAGGAAGCATAGATACACAGGAAGCTGGGCTTACAGTAAGCCATGGTTTGAGTAATTATTATTATTTTTATCTATAGTGGTCCAGCTCACAATTTGTAAAGTTTAATTACAAGCCACCATACCTAGGTTGAGGCACTGCTATAAGCCAACTACTTTATGGTTTAATATATTGTGCAAACACAGCCACTGAATCAGGTTTTCCATCCATTTTGTCTAATGGTGTTGCTATTGGAAGTTCACAGAATGAAGGTCCCTTGGCACAGGAGGGCCAGGTTAAAGCATTTTGATAACGTGCCTTTTCCTATGCAGAAGAAAGGCCATTACATCTTGGGCCTCAAATTACCCAATTACACCACAAAGCACCTTGTTTACAGCAGTTGCAATCTGCCAAATGGAACCTACCAGACATTGGAATCTACCATTCATTTCTTCCTTCCCCCACCCCAAAGTTTTCAAAAGAGCATTTCTGTAATAATTTTTCCTCTCTTGTCAAACTTTATAGTCTCAGGCTCAACCTTAATTAATTTAGAATTAAACACAAACAACCTCCTCTTAGCTGATTTGGAGCTGTGCCTGGCTTCCCGCCCCAGGGCTGAAATGCTTCATTGCTCCTGGGGAGTGTCCTCTCCACAATTCTGGCCCTCAATTCACAACCAGCAAGAGGTTTGCCATTGGCACTGGGGCAGGTAAGCTGTTTGTTCAAGTGGCGAACAAACTGAACACAGAAACACCAATCTGATGTCAGCCTGTTTTGTTCTGTACTGGGGAAACTGGGGCTACCCCCAGAAGAAGACCCATTATTTACACAGGAGAGAAAGAGAGCAGAAAATAGTTTACTCAGAAATTATTCTCACACATCAAAGCTCTGCATTAGTTTTTCTAATCTATGACTTTGGTCAAATAAAAGTGAGGTCTATCCTTTCCAAAAGTTATTTTCCACAATTTTGATAAACACCGCCCAGCTATGCAAATTTATACCCATTCAATTAAAAACTGTAATAATTCTCCTCTCCTTTTTATTATAAGTGATGCATAAAACACACAGTACAATTTTGTACATAATCACTCAGAAGTAAGTTCTGCTGAAGTCAATAGTATGAGCTGCTGAATGTAGGAATGGCTTTAAAATCTAGCTGTGCAACTCCTTTGTGATGCCACAAGAAAGGCCAAGTTTAACTTCTGTAATGGACTTGTTTCAGTTCAGATCATTTGGGAGGATAACCCCTTGATGTGAAGCTTAAAACTGAAAGTCATTTCAGAAAATCTGAAGACTTGTGCTTCTCTAATGAGGAAATCAACAAATAGCTTTTACATTATTCCTATTTTAGGACAGAACAGATGGAATTTTTAGGCCTCTTCTGAGCAGAAGAAGGCTTCCATGTTTTAGATAAATAAGGTTTTGAGTTGTGAGTAAGCAGTTTAATTGAAGACAGACAAACAAACAAATAAAAAGGGAATTTCTTAAACTTTTCAGTTGGTTGACAAAATTGGAGCAGGGTGTTGTTATTTTTGGGACTGTGTATTATGAGGGATTGAAGATGTTAGGCACATTGATAAAGATGTCAGACTTGTTTCCTTGGTTTTTTGCTTTTTCCAAGAGCAGCCCTTAAAAATTTGGANTCTAGTTCTATAGTGTATCCAAAACAATTTGCCCATTTATATTTATATAATAGCTTCTTAATATTCTGTTAATTAGATGCCTTAGAACAGTGCTTCCCTGGGTATACTATCCAAAATTGAGTAAAGCCCATTACCCAATCACAGCAAGAATATTTAAATTAGGACTTTCTGCTACACAGTAAAAAAGACTTTATAATAAAGAAAAATATTTGGGAAAGTTTTATTGAATATAGACAAAAAAGATGGACATGCTATCAATAAATTACAGTGTTAGATATTAATATTACAAACATTCAGTTATCTGACTTTTTAAAAAATTAAATACAACATTGGAAATGAAATGAAAAAAATTAAGGAAGTGTATATATACCTAGGTATTTGTTTTAGAATAAAGGTTTTGGTCTTAAACTAAATTGCTTCAGATTAAAATTTCCATTATATTACCAGACAAAGACATTGAGACAGATGTGATTACCTCAATAACATTTTTTATCAGCTTGCACCACTTGAGTTTTGAATTTGTACCCTGAATTGGATTATAGCTCAATTCAACAGATATACTGAAATGTTGTCTTAACTTTATTAAGATAGTAAAAGCATCAAGAGTTCAAGAGTTGCCATATATATATTATTTTGTAGTTCATCAACAAACCATCATTTTTTCTTTTTCAGAATCATAGGCTTAATCTGAGGAAAAAATTCTACATTTTTGTTTCTTATTCATAGGTGAATCTGCAGAAAAAGTAAGTAGTGAAGTAGCTCAGATACCAGAATCAGCAGATGCTGCTTTCAACAACCAAATAGTAAATAAATCTCTTGAAGAAATTGAACTTGAAAAGAACATTAATTCCAAGGAAATATGGATGGACTATGAAGATTTCTGCATTTGCTTTCAGTAAGAAGCAGTGACGGTTTTTTGAGTTGTAACCCTACATTTCTGAAAACATGTGTTCTTGTATTGAAAACATTGTTTTGAATATAGCAAATAAATTGTATTTAGACCCAAACAAGAAGGCAAGGAGTTGCCAAGGTTACGTGCACAATCATTGGAGTCCTTTTTGAAAGGGACATCATGAGAACTATACAGAAATTATTCTTTGTGTCAAGATCTCCCATTTCTATGGTTCTATATTCTCCAGAATTTTACCAATTGATTTTAATTGAAAACCAGAACTACAGAATTCACTGCTGCATAAGACTATTTGTACACTCTTAAATATAAAGGCTATAAATAATTTCTGTCAATCAATACTAATATTTTTCAGTTTGGGCTCTACAAAATACTGGGAATTAATTTTTACTATTACTATTATTCTATCTCCTTTAATTAAAAAGTTAAGAATATTGTTTAATTTAGTAAAAATCGACATCACTTGAGGGATTTTTATATAACCTATGCTAAAATAATCATATTCATTTTTCTTAGGAATTTATATGTTTTCCACAAACCAAGTACCTATGCCTATAACTATCAAAAGTCAGATTTTAGGGTAAGTTTATCGACAATATAATTTATATCTCAATATATTTCAGTTTGTATTGATAAAACATTAATCAAATAAAGTTTATTATATATTTTATGTATAATATATATAAAACCCTTCATACAAAACAGTGTAAACTTTTTGTCAGTTGTTTAGAACAGCACTAATAATTATGAGAAAACAACATTCATGGCTCTGATAAAACGGGTTGATGCTTTCGGTTCTGTATCCAATACCAAACTTTGAAATATAATAGAAATTCTATCAATTGTTAGTTGCTACAACATTTGATGATAGAATGTAAACAGAAAGATCTTTTCTCCTTTCAGATGGTAGATGATCGAGTCTTGTATTATATGTGTGTGGACAGCTTGAAGCCTACTGATATTCTAGTTAGCTTTTCTGCATTAGTACATTGGGGAGAAACTGGAGGTAAGATTAATACAAAGCACAAGAGTAATATTAATATTGTTCTTTCGGATTTTTTTCTAAGAGATATTCAGGGGAAAAGGAAAAGAAATTAAGAGGGAAAAGTATAATAATTTTTTTAGGAAAACAAAGAAAAAAACCATAAAGAAGCACCTTCTGATAGTCTTCATAGCAGTTATAAGTACAAATATATTTACCTCTCTCTCCCCCCCCCTCTCTATTGTTCCATAATATTACTCTTCTTTATATCTATCTTTCAAAGCCATGTCACAAATTCTTTTTTTTCATTTTTACACAAAATGTCCATAATAGGCTTCCAGTCACCAACAAATGTAGATAATGTCTTTTCTCTAATCAAAGAAGATAATTTATCCATTTCAGCAAAATCTTCACCAACCATTCCTACATAGTGAGTAGTGTTGAATCTTTCCATCTTTGTGCACATAATAATCTTGCTGCTGTGATCTTATATTGGAATAATCTTCCCTGGCTTTTTTTCTAACTGCTTGTCAATTAATCCTCAAAAGAAAAGTTCTGGCTTCAGTGATCAGATTTGTTGTAAGTTTGGTCTGATACCATCACATCTAAATTTACTTTGAAAACTAGATACTTGTGCCCAATATCTAGAGGAGTGCCTTCCAATCCAGAAGGCTCATCATTTGGTAGACAAACATGTCTAACTATTTCAGCCTTGCCCATACAACAACACAGAAATGTCTTCCTATTGCCTTCTTAAAGTTCCTTCACCTAAATGAAATTTCACTTACATCTGCAGAGCAAGAAAAATAAATTCCAACAGTTTTTCATTATGTCCTTTGTCTACTTTATCCTTCAAACCAGACTTTTCAGAATGTCTATCCTGGCTCAGAGGAGTCTAGTTTTACCGTAACATTCTGTACACACTGTCCCTCTTATTCAATTCAAAATAATTGTTGATTCTTGTTCATTTTTTATTCATAGGCAAGTATAAGAATCCATTTTTTGTCAAGGTTCTGTCGAGATTCAAGAAGAGCCCATTGTTTTTGTACAGACATGAATTTTTAAAAAATGTTTTGCAATATCTAATGAATTAAGCTGTTTATGCCTATTCCAGAATTCCAGGCATATATTTAAAGCCATTGATTTTGCTGTCTAGATGAAGCAGAGAGCATTTCAAAAAGAATCACACTGGCTTTCAGTTTCCTTTGGAGAAATTTAAAGTTGGCACACAAGAATTCATGACTATATTCCCCTATGTCACAATATGCAGAGTAATCATTAAATATGTATCAGTATGCAGACTATCTAAGTAGTGTGTGGATATAGGCAGCTTGTGCACCAGGCAGGCAAATTACCATGCAATCTATCAACATTTCAGAAAGTGAAATGATTAATTCATTTAGTTCTTACTGCAAGAAAATTCTTATTCATCATACTAGAAATTATCGCATCATTTTTCTTTTATTTGGTGTACTATCCACCTCCACCCTAAAATATCATCTTCTGTGAATAAAAAGGAACTGTCATCTTGGCAATGGGAAGTTGGTTATAGCACAGAAACTGCTTTAGTCGCGCTGATCGATGATCTCTGGCGAGCCAGGGATAGGGGTCACTCCTCTATCCTTGTGCTTCTTGACCTCTCAGCGGCCTTC